ATGGTTTGTTAATTGCACAGTGGCAGATAAAACAGTGCTCCAGAGGGTTAATGTCATTGCCCAGAGGATCATGGGTTGCCCTCTCCCCTCTTTGGAAAAGCTTTTTAGCTCCCGCTGCCTTAAGAAAGATCAAAACATTCTTAAAGATCCATCTCATCCTGGGCACCCTTTTTTTTTAACTATTACCATCTGGCAGACGGTACAGGATAATAAAAACAAGGACAAATAGGCTGAAAAACAGCTTCTACCCCAGGGCAGTAACCATATTGAATTCTACGGTATAGTGCAATATTAATGCAATATCGGGTTTTCACTTATATAGCATGTGAAAGATGTGTTTGTGTTTTTATTTTTATAGTTATAGTGTACACTGAAGATGGCATTTAATTTCATTGTATAATGTGCAATGACAATAAAGTAAACTAAACTAACTAAACATACAAGCATAATTGTGGACTTAATTATGATCAAAGACTACATGTAGATGTCCTTACAAAGGAGGATATGTTTTCTCTCTTTGACCCAAACCTGCCCCAAAACCCTTCTGAGCATAAAAATTACAGGAAAAAAATAAATAAATACAGAGGAATTCGGGTTAATCCCTTCAGAGTGTAGCAGGAGCATTGATCTGCCTATATTAGAGTGGATGTCAAAAATGGTAAAAAGATGATAGCCACAACTGTGTCATCAAAGCCCTGCCCACTTTTTCCACAACACATATAAAAACGGGTGTAGCTTCAATATCTTAATATTTTTTAAATAGCCCCCCTCTCCCAGATGTCCCCAGGGATGGGCTTCAAAAATTTTAGCAAGGGGTTGTCTGCCCGGTTGCTGGGTGGGCGTGGCTATGGTGGGCGTGGCCCAGTGGGCCTCTTGCACATGGTGGGGGGCGGGCGTTTTTGCCCTCTCCGGGCTCTGGATGCTTTCTTCAAGTCTCCAGGAGGGTGAAAATGGCCTCCCCTGGCTCAGGAGGCCCTATGGAGACCAGAAATGGGCCCGTTTCTGGCCTTCCCGAACTTCTAATCTAATAGGCCTGTTGTTCGCCCTCCCCGAGCCTCCGCGCAGGCCCTGCACTTACCTGCATCCAAAATGGGTCGCATGGGGATGGGAGGGGTGGGCAGGGCCAGCCAGGAGTGGGATTTGGGGGTTCTCCAAACTGCACAGAATCTTAGCTAGAGGTTCTCCCGAATCCCTGCGAACCCCCAGCAGCCCACTCTGGATCATGTCCCTGAAAACAGGCTGCAATCATTCCAAACATCCAGAGAGCCATATGTCTCCAATCCTGGTAACATTCTGAAAGGTATCAAAAATCTGGGTATTTTCCCAGACTTTGGGCTAGGGCACAATGCGAAGCCTGTAACGTTTTGTTCGGTTTTATCATTTTTCTTTTTCTTGTTCCTGTTTTTATAGAACATGAAGTGCCTGGAGTCTTTGGGAATAAGGCATTCTTCCAATGTATGCAAAAGAAATAACGAAATGCTCATTTTGTTCAATCTGATAATAAAACAGTTCAGCCCAACACTTCACTCTGGGGAAGTCCATTGGTCTTACAGTTTGTTGTTCATGTTTCCAGAGAATAAGGAAACTAAAATAAGTCATCTCCGCCTGAGTTTTATAATGATTTTATTTTAAAATAAATAAATAAATGAAAGAGCACTTGGCATGTCCTAAAAACAAACTCTGACTCAAGCAAATAGAACTTCTTTTCAGCTATGCGTTTGGGTCCCAGAAATGCTCCAGAGGCATTCTCAAGAAATAAGAAGGGGGAATTTGGTTTGAAAAGAGTTCCCAGAAGAAAAAGTCTAGGATTAAGAGGAGAAGTCTATAGAACACCCCGGAAAGCTACAAAGACAATGGCAAGCGTACCAATTTGTTTTCTCATAAATGAATGTTTTGTGACTATCCACACCCATTTCTCTTGCCATTTTATGAGAGTATCTATGACATGTATAAGTTACTCTTTGACAATTTATGTACTGTATTTTTCAGAATATAAGACACACCTTTTTCCCTTAAAAAAGAGGGTGAAAATCTGGGTGCGTCTTATACACGGAATACAGCATTTTTGGCCTCCGGAAACAACACACCTTTGCAAAAATGGCTTTTAGGAGGCTTCTAGAGTGCTCCTGGGGGCTATGGAGGGCAGAAATAAGCAAAAAATGGGCCTTTGTTGTTTGTTTCCCCCCACCCCCACAGCCCCTGGGAGCACTCTAGAAGCCTCCTAAAGGCAATGCATGCCCCTTTTTTGACAAAAAGTTTTTGTGAAAAAGGGGCTGTTTTTGGGAGGACTGCAGAGTGCAAAAACTTTTTAATTTGCCTCTTCAAAATCTAGGTGCGTCTTATACTCTGAAAAATACGGTATTTAGTATTGATTATTCTTATTTGCCAGATGTTTCTTCTGAGAGGACTACAGTATTGTTCAATCGTCTGCATCTGCAGGAATTCGGCTCTAGATGGCAGTGTTATTAATATGTTTCATAGAAGAAAGTACAGATAGTCCTGGATATACAACCACAATTGAAGCAAAACGTTCTGTGGCTAAGCGAAACAGTTGTTAGCTGAGTTATGCCCCATTTTACGATTTTTCTTGCCACAATTGTTAAGTGAATCACTAGAGATGTTAAGTTACATGGTTGTGAATCTGGCTTCCCCATTGATTTTGCTTGTCAGAAGGTCACAAATGGTGATTACATGCAACCGTCATAAATACGAGAGTTGCCAAGCACCCGAGTTTTGATCACTTGACTACAGAGATGCTGCAACGATTGTAAGTGTGAAAAACAGACAAAAGTCATTTTTTTCAGTGCTGTTGTAACTTCGAACAGTCACTAAATGAATGTCTGTAAGTCAAGGGTTACCTGTAGAACATCTTCTGTCAAAGAAACAGAGGATCAATATACCTGTGTCCATTCTTCCTCTTCACCCAAAAGTCTCCTTAAATGAGCAAAATAGTTAATTTGAATTATGAAGCCAGAAAGCAGGGAATTCTCAGCGCTAGTGTGCCTCTGGAACTTGCTTTCCTTTCTCCCTCTTCAAGGAAACTTTGTTTTTGGTTTGTTTTATTCCATTTCTATAGCCACACAACTCAGCCAAGTGATTCTGGGTGGCTAAAACAATTCAAACAATTGAAAAGACTTTAAAACAATAAAAAAAACACAAAATAAATAAAAGAAAACTTTTCTCACACAGACCAAGTGTCTAGTCTGTCCCCTCCAACCAAAGACAAAGTGGCCGGTACAGTGGAGGTACGGGACCCATGTACTGGGCAGGGAAGGAGCTGACTTGGAGCAAATCACTCTCAATGACTCATCATCTCTAAACTCTTCCCTGATACATCCCAAATTGTCCTTATGGAAAGTTTTGTGTCAGGATGAGGGAAACACCACTTCCACAGATGATTCTAGGCCACCTCAGCAGAGGTCTGTGGCAGAGGTCTCTCTAAAACATTTAGTAATGCAGACATTATGGCAAGCAGGATGTGAGGATGAGATCCTGATAAAAGGCGGAGATTGTGTCCAAAGCCCTTTTCATTTTTAAATAAAGGCTGTGCAAACCATCTGAAGGAACCTTCTGGAAACCAGCAACCACATCCTTCCAAACTTGCTGAGGTAGCCGTATCAGTCCAAAGTTCAGTGTCACCATTGTGAGATGTTTTCCTAACCGTCGGAGATATAAGTGCATATCCTGAAGACACTTCCATCAAAACCAAGCCATGGGGAGACTTCACAAGACATGGCCCCCTTGATGCTCTGAGAAGCTAATTTCATGAAGTGCTCTGCACCACAGTGATTTGAGTATTTCTAGCTTTTATCACTATCACATTTTGCTGGCCAAGCAGTTGCCTCAAGGGAGCACCAAAGCAAGGCATGAAGGTGAGAGATCCTCCATTCTGGATCTACAGATGGTCTCCCTTCATATATTGGCTGGTTACCATTCAGTAATACGATGACAAGCTCCTTACCTCCACTTAAACAGGTACCTCTCACTTGAACCGCTATGCAAAACAAGTTCCCATCCATGATTGAGTCTTGTTACACCATCACAGGCCTCTTTCCAAATTACAGGAACAGACGGGCCACTCTGACTTGTTGGAAGAACTACACTCAGGTGCACTTTTACCAGCTCACTTCTGAAAGTCTTATTCCTCAAGGATGGTGATAGAATGCATTTACTCTGCTTATCCTCTTGATGAGAAAGCAGCAATTACAGGTTCCACTAGGTGGGGTACTTTTGCTGGCATTCATGCACTGCCTGTTCCAGGCTCTTGTGGATGCACTCTGCCTGTCTCCTGAAGCTGTTCTTCTGCTTGTGTCCTACCCTGGGGCCAGCCAAGGCCAGCAGGAAGCTAAAGAGCTGAGAGGGCAGAGGATAGACAGGCACTGAACGGAAGAGGTCAGGGATCTCATTGACTGGAAGAAGCTCCTCAAAGCAGCCAACAATGTATCTGGCCCTGGCCTCACCAGCCAAGAAATCAGGCAGGACGCAGTTGAGGGAAGCCAAGAAAGTGCTGTCTGGTTTGAAGGTGGACCGAGGGAAGTTCTGTTTCCAGCCCAGCCATTCTGCACAACTGGCCACGGCATCATGGGAAAACAGCAGCACAATAACTCCGCCTTCTTGAAGGACCAAGCGTCGCTGTGCATGGAACCACTGCATAGGCCCCAGAGATCCCAGCTCCCCACGGCTCCACAACTCCAGGGATACAGAGACTTTCAACTGAGTCAGTGCATCTGCCAGGATGCCCACCACACGCTCATAGCCTTCGTGATCTGGAGAGTAGAGAATGAGGACCTGTTGTCCCTCAAGCATTCCTGCAGTGAGAAAGAAAGAGAGAGAGGGAGGGAGGGAGGGAGAGAGAGAGGGGGGGGGAGGGAGAGAGAGAGGAGATGTTCCATAAACAATAACAAGTTTTCCTACCCCACATCTCTCTCCTTTGCAAGTGGTTCACAAGTGGCTCTCTCAGGTTTAGATGCATC